TTTCATTTCCCATTCCTATGTATTTGATAGAAACGATCTTTGCGGAATTTATATTGACCTTGTGAGGGTATCCGCTTTCCTCGCAGGCTCAATGTCCGAGATAGTTGGCGATGATGAATATTGCTTCAAATTGCGCTAAAATGACACGCCACTCAAGTCACTTGTCTACAAAAGTCGGCTGTGTTTTAAAAGCAACGCAATGTTTGAAGTGTTTGCTCTTGCACGAAACGGCCAGTTTTGAGAAGAACAGGGAACAACGATGTCTACGACGAACTCAAGATCTTCCCCAAGAGATGACGATGTTGAGCGTGTTATCGTAGTGGTACTTAGTTTCATCTTCTTATTTGTTGGTGTGTTAGGAAACACTGCAGTTATTATTTATAACATCTTCCTGAACCACGACAAGACTCCGAGCAGCTGGTTGGTTACACATCTTGCTTTCGCTGATCTTCTCGTTTGTTTAGTACTTTATCCAAAAAGAATTGTTTTGTTCTTTCATGCAGGAATAAGAAATAAAGAACTAGTGTTTTGCAGGATAAACCGTACCACATTTTATATTTCTTTATTCCTTTCCATAATAATTCTACTATCCGTCACAATTGATAAATATCTGTATATAGCGAAGCCGCTGAAGTATCCACTTATCGTGACAACACGAAGAACTAGGATATTTCTCAGTTGTGTCTGGTTAGCTGCATTGGTTCAGTTTTCTCTCATATATATTTACATGAACACCAGCCAAATTAGACGTGAGCGCGAAAAATGTCATTTTCCACGACCCGTTGTATGGTTGCAGGCAATCCTACCGTTTGCCGCCATTTGTGTCATGATAATCCTGAATTACAAAATGTTCAAGATCGTGAAACAGCAAAGACAAAGGATGGCATCACAATTCGTGTTACAGCCTCGACAATCAGAACAAGTACAGTCGGAACAAGTACAGTCGGGGCAAAACATGACTTGGTTACGTCATCTGGCAAAGGAATTGAAAGCTATGAAGACATTCGCCATTATCGCTGGAGTCTTCACATGTTGTTTTGTTCCATATATTGTCATGAATACGCTTCGTGGTTCATCTTATTATGCATGGTTCTCAAAACCTAGAATTCGGATCGTAATTCTCCAGCTGGCTGGTATAAACTCGATTGCAAATGCCTTCATCTATGCGTTGAGACATAAGAAATACATAAGAGCTTATAGGAAACTCTTTTCTTCTGCCTGCCAGTTTGCTTTTAGGGTAAACATCGAATAATAAATTTTAAATAAAAAAAAACACTGACCTTAATGCGCTCTACATACATTTGGGAAAGCCTCAGAAAAAAAACTCATTCCAAAAGGGAAAGGGAAAAGGAAAATATACGGAAATATTTTGCTTGGAACCCACGACTTTTTCTCTGGACCCACGACTTCTTGTTCGGGACCCACGACTTTTTTCTCGGGACCCACAGCTTTGTACTCGGGACCTACGACATTATATCCACGACCCACGACTGTTAGCTAGTCCCAGGATATCTAATTATGGTCCACCTCTTATGCTTTAAATAATTTCCCAATCTCGTTCCCCGAGCCTGCGATCCTCGGGAAGGAACGTGAGGCTCTGGGATAATCCGTTTCAGGGAGGAATCTGATTGGCCGTTGATATGGAATGCGCAGTTCAATCTTAGCCAGGATTGCTGGCTTCCGGCAACGGATTATCCCAGAGCCTCACGTTCCTTCCCGAGGATCGCAGGCTCGTGGAACGAGATTGATAATTTCCAGGCTGAATGTTGATTTTAAAAATAAACATGACATTAATGATTCCCATTGGATAGATTTAATTGGATATAAGTAATATTTATGCAAAAGCGGAGCCAACTCAGTCCCCGAGCATGTCCGTCCGCAGGTTAAGGCTATGCCGACCCTTAACCTGCGAACGGGCATGCTCTGGGAACGAGATTGGAGCTAAATTGACAAGAGCGAGCGTATTTCGTTTCTTGATGTGTTGTCGGCACTGTAGCACGCTTTTCAGCAGCGAATTTTCCTTCTCTGTTTAGATTTTAATATAATTATACGAAAAATTTTAAAATAATATAATTTCAAAGTCCATAGTCCATAGTCCATAGTCCATAGTCCATATAGCTAGTCCATAGTTTAAAGTCCATAGTTTAAAGTCCATAGTTTAAAGTCCATAGTTTAAAGTCCATAGTTTAAAGTCCATAGTTTAAAGTCCATAGTTTAAAGTCCATAGTTTAAAGTCCATAGTCCATAGTTTAAAGTCCATAGTCCATAGTTTAAAGTCCAAAGTCCATAGTTTAAAGTCCAAAGTCCATAGTCCAAAGTCCAGTCCAGTGTTTACAATATGCCGTCGGGCGGTGATGAGAATCAAGGAATTTATTTTATGTTGGGACTTGGGAGTGGCTAATTTTGAATATTTACTTAATTAATGACATTATAGTATAAAAAGCTTTGATGCTTCAGGGGCGGTAATTCATTT